GATCGCCACGCGATGTTGCAGAGACGTGTCAGCCAAGACAGTCCCACAACATCCAGAGACTTTAGATAATCAGGACAGATCTCATTCACACCCGGAGCCTTGCCACCATGGAGGCTGCCAACCACCTTGTTGACCTCAGCCAGGGAGATGGATGTATCCACCCCAACATCCTCAGCCTCTGCCTCTGTAACGGAGGACATGACGGGGGGATTGAGGAGAACCTCGAAGTATTCCTTCACACCGCCCGACAATATCCCCAGTCGAGGTCAGCAGCTCTCCACCCTCACCGTACACGGTGTTGGCAAAGAACTGCTTCCCCCTCCTGAGGCGCCGGATGGTTTGCCAGAATCTCTTCGAGGCCGACCGATAGTCATGCTCCATGGACTCTCCGAACTCCTTCCAGTCCCGGGTTTTTGCCTCTGCAACAGCCCGGGCTGCGGCACGCTTGGCCTGCCGGTACTGGACAGCTGCCTCAGGAGTCCCCCAAACCATCATGGCTTGATAGGACTCCTTCTTCAGCCTGACGGCATCCCTTACTGCCGGTGTCCACCACCGGGTTCGGGGGTTGCCGCCGGGACCAGCACCAGAGACCTTGCGACCACAGCTACGAGCCGCCATATCGGCGATTGAGGCAGAGAACATGGTCCACTTGTACTCCATGTCCCCCTACTCTGCCGGGACCTGGGAGAAGCTCTCCCGGAAGTGTGAGTTGAAAGTCCATCTGACAGGGGGCTCAGCGAGACGTTCCCAGCAGACCCTCACTATATGCGTGGGTCTGCCAGGTCTGACCGGCTTCTTCCCCTGCCAGCGGATCCAACTCACTACCAGGTGATGATCGGTTGACAGCTCCACCCCTCTCTTTACCCTAGTGTCCGAGACATGCGGTCGAAGGTCAGATGATACGACAACAAAGTCGATCATCGACCTCCTGTCTAGGGTGTCCTGGTGCCACGTGCACTGGTGGACACCCTTGTGCTCGAACATGGTGTTCGTGATGGACAAACTGTGACTGGCACAGAAGTCCAACAACTGAACACCGCTCGGGTTCAGATCAGGGGGGCCCCCAGACCTGGCTCCAGGGTGGGGCCCCGGCTGCTCCATGCCGGGGCGACGTCACTGGTCTATTTATTGTTCTGTCCATGGTGGTTTTTGGACCACTCTTCGTCTGACGCCATGGGAGACCCTACCAGGGGCATGAAGCCCCAGACAGCATTGCTCCCAGGATCATCCGAGTACTCAAACTCCCCCACCACGTTAAGGTGGCAGTCCAGGGGGGAGGGCTTCAAACATAAAGATATAAAAATTCAACTTTTTGTCAAGAATCAACAAGTGGGACACAATCGGGAAGTGGAACGAAATTTATTGGATAATTTAAACTTTTTTAACAAATAAAAAACTGAAAAGTGGGGCGTGCAATATTATCCGGCCCCCTTGCGCTAATACTTTGTAGCGCCACCTTTTGCTGCAATTACAGCTGCAAGTCGCTTGGGGTATGTCTCTATCGGTTTTGCACATCGAGAGACTGGAATTCTTTCCATTCTTCCTTGCAAAACAGCTCGAGCTCAGTGAGGTTGGATGGAGAGCATTTGTGAACAGCAGTCTTCAGCTCTTTCCACAGATTTTCGATTGGATTCAGGTCTGGACTTTGACTTGGCCATTCTAACACCTGGATACGTCTATTTGTGAACCATTCCATTGTAGATTTGGCTTTATGTTTTGGATCATTGTCCTGTTGGAAGATAAATCTCCGTCCCAGTCTCAGGTCTTTTGCAGACTCCAACAGGTTTTCCTCCAGAATGGTCCTGTATTTGGCTCCATCCATCTTCCCATCAATTTTATCCATCTTCCCTGTCCCTGCTGAAGAAAAGCAGGCCCAAACCATGATGCTGCCACCACCATGTTTGACAGTGGGGATGGTGTGTTCAGGGTGATGAGCTGTGTGGCTTTTACGCCAAACATATCGTTTTGCATTGTGGCCAAAAAGTTTGATTTTGGTTTCATCTGACCAGAGCACCTTCTTCCACATGTTTGGTGTGTCTCCCAACTGGCTTGTGGCAAACTTTAAACGAGACATTTTATGGATATCTTTGAGAAATGGCTTTCTTCTTGCCACTCTTCCATAAAGACCAGATTTGTGCAGTGCACGACTGATTGTTGTCCTATGGACAGACTCTCCCACCTCAGCTGTAGTTATCTGCAGTTCATCCAGAGTGATCATGGGCCTCTTAGCTGCATCTCTGATCAATCTTCTCCTTGTTTGAGATGAAAGTTTGGAGGGACGGCCGGGTCTTGGTAGATTTGCAGTGGGCTGATACTCCTGCCATTTCAATATAATTTCTTGCACAGTGCTCCTTGAGATGTTTAAAGCTTGGGAAATCTTTTTGTATCCAAATCCGGCTTTAAACTTCTCCACAACAGTATCTGGGATCTGCCTGGTGTGTTCCTTTGTCTTCATGGTTCTCTCTGCGCTTTAAACAGAACCCTGAGACTATCAAAGAGCAGGCGCATTTATACGGAGACTTGATTACACACAGGTGCATTCTATTTATCATCATCAGTCATTTAGGACAACATTGGATCATTCAAAGATCCTCACTGAACTTCTGGACTGAGTTTGCTGCACTGAAAGTAAAGGGGCCAAATAATATTGCACGCCCCACTTTTCAGTTTTTTATTTGTTAAAAAAGTTTAAATTATCCAATAAATTTTGTTCCACTTCACGATTGTGTCCCACTTGTTGTTAAATCATGACAAAAAAATAAAATGTTATATCTTTATGTTTGAAGCCTGAAATGTGGCGAAATGTTGAAAGGTTCAAGGGGGCCGAATACTTTCGCAAGGCACTGTATATCTGTGAACACAGCTGCAGAGTCGCGGCTGCTGCTGTCTCTGTGAGGTCTATAGAGAAGTGTAGAGCACAGTGTAATGTGTTCACGGACACTAAATGATCAGACCGATGGGTTGCATTTGTATGTTTAGCTACTTTGCACTCTGTCCTAAACTTACAGACGTGTTGCTGCAGCTATTTGTCGGCTCGTATCTTAGCAGAGTGTGTGGTGCGTTCACGAGTAGTCCGTATGGCCCAGAGAACTGTAGAGCAGTAAAATGTTTGTCCTCATGGTCTGTGGCTGCTGTGGTCAGACACCAGACTTTATGAACTGCGTGAAGCGGGGAGATCCGCGCATGTGCGGCCGTTATGTGAGATGTCAGTGAAAATAGACGTCCTCCGTGATTATCACACATTATCAGGGGTCCACAGGTGCGAGTAAACAAACTTGTTTCACTTCCGGGTAATCGATTGACTCCGAAATGTGTAATAAAAAAAGGTTAATTATTGCATTTTCCATTCCCCAAATCCGGTTATTATAATATATATATATATATATATATATATATATAATGTCTTATAGGCAATGAAAAAAAACAAAATGGTCATTTTTGTACATTGCTGTGTGCCTGAAAATGCAAAATAGCCTTTTTTCGATTTTCCATTTCCCTTCAAAAATAGAAAATGTATCGAACGCAAAAGTACACGGACCTAATATAATGCAGAGGAGGTACATGAACCACAGTTTGAGAAACACTACAGTTACACACACACACACACACAGTGATGGGCAACCTACTTGATTTGTGTAGTGAGCTAAGCTACAAGCTACTCTACAATAAATTCAGCTTCACTACAGAAGCTACCATCCATAAAAATGTAGCAAGCTAAGTTCCTGTCAAAAGCTACTTCCAATGAAACAAACTGCAGTCCATGCAATTTTAGTCATAAGTAACTGTCAGTCAAAAGGTTAACATTTACATATTTATTGAACAATAGCCCAAAACACCAACAACAAAACACAAGAAGGCCTTTTGCAATAAAATAAATTGAGAAATTACAGCAATAAGCCATTACAAATTAACATGTATGTCATTAGAACTGTTTTTTGGCTGTTGTTACATTTGCCCAATATACACGTAACAAATGTGAATCAGAGCCAATTAATAACTCTATTTAAGCAAGAATACCCTCCGAAATTGAAAAGAAAAAACATATATAAGTTTACAAGTTTAGGAAAACAATCGTAACAACATCATACAGCCTTAAAGCTGTATGATGGGATTGTAATCCCAGAGAAAGAGGAACTTTCCTCTTTCTCTGGGACTTTCACCAAGGCATGCGCATTAGCATTAGCATTATTAGCATAGCACCTAATTTGTTTGTTGTGGCTGCGGGAAAATGCTGTATTATATGAACATCAGAAATGTCCCTGAGAAAATAGCTTTGGAGGACGCTACTGCGCCACTTACTCAATAAAACAGATTAGCTGCAGAAAAGTTACTTGGTTTTGTAAATAGTTGACGCTACTGTCAAACTACTGAAAAATGTAGTTAAGCTAGTAGCTAATTATAGCGACGCTACTGCCCATCACTGCACACACACACACTGATCCAGCTGCACCTTCCATACACACACACACACACACTGTTCCAGCTGCACCTGTCATCATACACACACACACACACACACACACAGATCCAGCTGCACCTGTCATACACACACACACACACACACACACACACACACACACACACAGATCCAGCTGCACCTTCCATACACACACACACACACACTGTTCCAGCTGCACCTGTCATCATACACACACACACACACACTGATCCAGCTGCACCTTCCATACACACACACACACACACTGTTCCAGCTGCACCTGTCATCATACACACACACACACACACACACACACACACACACAGATCCAGCTGCACCTGTCATACACACACACACACACACACACACACACACACACACACACACAGATCCAGCTGCACCTGTCATCATACACACACACACACACACACACACACACACACACAGATCCAGCTGCACCTGTCATACACACACACACACACACACACACACACACACACAGATCCAGCTGCACCTGTCATCATACACACACACACACACGTGCACGCGCACACCCACACACCTGTCATTAGACTGTAGTAGTTTGGGTACGACAGACTGGGGAAGTCTGGGGTCATATGGTCCACAGTGGCCCCCCGCCGCAGCAGCTCCCTGAAGCCTGAGTGAGGGTCCAGCGAGTCCAGGTTCATGTGGAGGTAGTCGAAACGGAAACCATCGAGGAGCAGGAGGAGCAGGGGCCGAGCAGAGGCACACAGGGGGGTCCGGGACAGCAGCAGGAGCAGCATCAGGGGGCAGCAGGGACTGGGAGACCTCATGGTGATCACAGGGACCAGTGATGTGAGTCCCAAAGGAGCTGAGTGAGAGTGTGCTGAGCCCTGGGTCTGGGTCCTGGGTCTGAGCCCTGGGACGGGCCCCAGAGCTCTCAGAGAGTGCACCGACCAATCAGAGGCCGCTCCTGTCAAAGCGTCTGCATTCAGGTCTTTGTGTGCGGTCATGTGTGAAAAGTCCACAAAGACCCAGTCCCATTATTCCCGGTCCTGCTGCACTCACAGCAGAGGAAGCTCCAACAGGCTCCAACTGGACTCAACATAAACAATCTCCACAAAGACGTTCAAGTGTTGCACCTCGAGCCAAAGAACATTTCTGGTTTGTGACTTTCTGTTTGTTGCAATAAAAATAATTCTGATTCTGGGTTTGTGGGAGAAGAGAGAACGCAAAATAAATTATGAATCACTATTCAAAGTTGAGCAAAGTGCGACACAGAAGTTCAATACATTTACAAAACATCAAACTGAATAAAAGCAGGAAATTTATTAGCATTCAAATAAGTCCACTCACATTAGTCCTGGTCTCAGGTCTCTGTCCTGAAGTCCTCTCACATTAGTCCTGGTCTCAGGTCTCTGTCCTGAAGTCCTCTCACATTAGTCCTGGTCTCAGGTCTCTGTCCTGAAGTCCTCTCACATTAGTCCTGGTCTCAGGTCTCTGTCCTGAAGTCCTCTCACATTAGTCCTGGTCTCAGGTCTCTGTCCTGAAGTCCACTCACATTAGTCCTGGTCTCAGGTCTCTGTCCTGAAGTCCTCTCACATTAGTCCTGGTCTCAGGTCTCTGTCCTGATTAGTCCTCTCACATTAGTCCTGGTCCCAGGTCTCTGTCCTGAAGTCCACTCACATTAGTCCTGGTCTCAGGTCTCTGTCCTGAAGTCCTCTCACATTAGTCCTGGTCTCAGGTCTCTGTCCTGAAGTCCACTCACATTAGTCCTGGTCTCAGGTCTCTGTCCTGAAGTCCACTCACATTAGTCCTGGTCTCAGGTCTCTGTCCTGAAGTCCTCTCACATTAGTCCTGGTCTCAGGTCTCTGTCCTGAAGTCCTCTCACATTAGTCCTGGTCTCAGGTCTCTGTCCTGAAGTCCTCTCACATTAGTCCTGGTCTCAGGTCTCTGTCCTGAAGTCCTCTCACATTAGTCCTGGTCTCAGGTCTCTGTCCTGAAGTCCTCTCACATTAGTCCTGGTCTCAGGTCTCTGTCCTGAAGTCCACTCACATTAGTCCTGGTCTCAGGTCTCTGTCCTGATTAGTCCTCTCACATTAGTCCTGGTCTCAGGTCTCTGTCCTGAAGTCCTCTCACATTAGTCCTGGTCTCAGGTCTCTGTACTGAAGTCCATTCACATTAGTCCTGGTCTCAGGTCTCTGTTCAGAAGTCCACTCACATTAGTCCTGGTCTCAGGTCTCTGTCCTGAAGTCCACTCACATTAGTCCTGGTCTCAGGTCTCTGTCCTGAAGTCCTCTCACATTAGTCCTGGTCTCAGGTCTCTGTCCTGAAGTCCTCTCACATTAGTCCTGGTCTCAGGTCTCTGTCCTGAAGTCCTCTCACATTAGTCCTGGTCTCAGGTCTCTGTCCTGAAGTCCTCTCACATTAGTCCTGGTCTCAGGTCTCTGTCCTGAAGTCCTCTCACATTAGTCCTGGTCTCAGGTCTCTGTCCTGAAGTCCTCTCACATTAGTCCTGGTCTCAGGTCTCTGTCCTGAAGTCCACTCACATTAGTCCTGGTCTCAGGTCTCTGTCCTGAAGTCCTCTCACATTAGTCCTGGTCTCAGGTCTCTGTCCTGATTAGTCCTCTCACATTAGTCCTGGTCTCAGGTCTCTGTCCTGAAGTCCTCTCACATTAGTCCTGGTCTCAGGTCTCTGTACTGAAGTCCATTCACATTAGTCCTGGTCTCAGGTCTCTGTTCAGAAGTCCACTCACATTAGTCCTGGTCTCAGGTCTCTGTCCTGAAGTCCTCTCACATTAGTCCTGGTCTCAGGTCTCTGTCCTGAAGTCCTCTCACATTAGTCCTGGTCTCAGGTCTCTGTCCTGAAGTCCTCTCACATTAGTCCTGGTCTCAGGTCTCTGTCCTGAAGTCCTCTCACATTAGTCCTGGTCTCAGGTCTCTGTACTGAAGTCCATTCACATTAGTCCTGGTCTCAGGTCTCTGTCCTGAAGTCCTCTCACATTAGTCCTGGTCTCAGGTCTCTGTCCTGATTAGTCCTCTCACATTAGTCCTGGTCTCAGGTCTCTGTCCTGAAGTCCTCTCACATTAGTCCTGGTCTCAGGTCTCTGTACTGAAGTCCATTCACATTAGTCCTGGTCTCAGGTCTCTGTCCAGAAGTCCACTCACATTAGTCCTGGTCTCAGGTCTCTGTCCTGAAGTCCTCTCACATTAGTCCTGGTCTCAGGTCTCTGTCCTGAAGTCCTCTCACATTAGTCCTGGTCTCAGGTCTCTGTCCTGAAGTCCTCTCACATTAGTCCTGGTCTCAGGTCTCTGTCCTGAAGTCCTCTCACATTAGTCCTGGTCTCAGGTCTCTGTCCTGAAGTCCTCTCACATTAGTCCTGGTCTCAGGTCTCTGTCCTGAAGTCCTCTCACATTAGTCCTGGTCTCAGGTCTCTGTCCTGAAGTCCTCTCACATTAGTCCTGGTCTCAGGTCTCTGTCCTGAAGTCCTCTCACATTAGTCCTGGTCTCAGGTCTCTGTCCTGAAGTCCTCTCACATTCGTCCTGGTCTCAGGTCTCTGTCCTGAAGTCCTCTCACATTAGTCCTGGTCTCAGGTCTCTGTTTGTTACAAGTCTCTCCATGGCCTCGCACCAAAGTCCATCTGTGACATGTTATTGCCATATGAACCAACTCTGAAGAGCACAGGGACTGGCCTCCTGCTGGTCTCAGAGTCAGGACTAAACATGGAGAGGCAGCATTTCAGATTCATGCAGCAAAAATCTGGAAGTATTCCTGAAAATGTTACAATCCAGGTCAAAAACAGTTGTTTTGCTGCAACAACTGAAGGATTTTATCTTCACTCTTTTTGATGTATAGTAACAGTAGTTTGTGCCTTGTGTGACTGTCTCTATCTTGTCTTGTTCAGCACTTTAAGTTTTCCTGTGTCTGAACTGTGCTATACAAATACACTTTTTTGAAAACTACATTTAACTTGTTTAGTGAGTGCATTTAAATCCTATCTATAATGAAAGAGAAGCAGATTAAGAACAGACCAAAAGTGGCTAAAAACGCTGCGGAGTCGAGGTGTAGCCAAACATTATTTTATTATCTTAAAAAGTACACAGTTCCCATAGGGCATCACGTACACTACAACAGTATAACACCAGTACTACACATCAAAGGGACTCTCAGATATTATAGACAGTTAAAAATCCCTCTTCTGATTTTTTTAAAGTATTTGACTAGGCATGACATAAACATCATTTACAGTATGACAGAGTGTCGCCTTTAAAACCATGGTATTGTCCGACCTCCAATGTACCACTGCCAATGTGCAGGGAAGACATCTGAGCGGTGGAGACGGGACGCAGGGGGGAGGGGGGTGGGACAAGGGGGGAGGCAGGGGAGGGGAGGACCCTTTCTCACACAATCTCAGTTACAGTTGAGCTTTTCTCGTACCGTGGGTTCTGACAGGTGGCCGCAGAGCAAATGCAGTCGTCAAAACTCGACTTTAAATGTTGTGCTTTAAAGACGGTGGAATCCTTAAATATCCATTCATAACTTTATCAAGTACAAAGACAGTGAACATCACAGACAGCGTTCAGGAGAAGCAGCTTCAGTGGAAGGAGGTCTCGAAACTTTTTAAATATTTATTTTTTTACCTTTCATGTCTAAAAATGAAGCGGAGAAGATTTATCATATGTTATATTAACTGTACTGAGTAAGCAAGTGCCATATGACTCTGAGGAGCACAAGGACTGGCCTCCTGCTGGGACTCTGAGGAGCACAGGGACTGCTTCAAAACCTGCTGGACCCAAATCTAGGTCTGAAGCAGGATTTCATTTCTGCAACTAAAATCTGGAACAGTCTTCCTGAAAATGTGAGACAGGCTTCTTCTTTGACAATGTTCAAATCCAGGTTAAAAACAGTTCTGTTTGCTGCTACAAATTTTATCTTCACTATTTTTAATGTACTGTGACTAAGATAAGTTACTTATAATAACTATATTGATCTTACGATGGAGAAATTGACATTATCATTTATGATTTTAATGCCTTGTGTGATAGTTTCCATCTTGTCTGGTTGAGCACTTTGAGTTGCCTTGTGCATAAACTGTGCTATACAAATAAACCGGGCTTCCACTGTCAAATGTATGAGGTGAAGTACAGATACCGACTGTACTTAAAGAGACAGTACGTAAGATGTGCCCAACTACAGATGTGTATTCTTGTGTCCCTGGAAGCAGAGACAGCACCAGGGTCTTGGGACAGGAGGACAGACTGCATTCTCAGGCCTCACCAGCAGGGGGAGCACAACACTGACTGAGACACCATCAAACAATCAAAGACAAGAAGCTATTCATCTTTTTTCCCCAATTCCCTTTCATGAAGAAGGACATTTTGCTGTTAAAAATATATAGTTTAAACTTTTCCTACACACCTTTGAAAGTAAAAACTGGGACCCTCAAAGGAGAGTCAAAAATGGGCTCTTTTAGTAACAAGGAAGATCTTTTATTTTGGGAATAATAAAGCATTTGGGAGTGGAAACGTCAGAACCCAATATGATAAACTGGTCTAGTTGTTTAGGCACAGCTTTGTCTCCCTCTAGTGGACATACTGGGGAACAACAGGACAAAGTGAGAGTCACCTGGAGGCATTATTCAAGAATCTTTTTGTGGACATTTCTTATTTGTAATTGGAGCATCAGTGTCCACGCTTAAAGTTCCTGTTCCACTGCCCACAGGGGCCTCCAACATCAGTAATCAACCCTGAAACTTTTAATTTATAGACCAATATTTGTCACTTTCCACCACTGCAGAACCTAAAGACCCTCACCTGCTGTCTGTGATGAAGATACTGGTCTGTGGTGAGTAGGGTGCTTGGATACGGTACCAGATACGAAAGCGTAATGGAAACACAACCAGATGGAGCAGAGCCGAGTCCGGCCAGTCAGGGCCGAGCCGAGCAGGGCTATTGAAACAGGGATTTTCTGAGATGAGATTATTTACTGCATTTATTTGTTTGGAGCGCAAATGGTCCGAGTAAAGCGTGGTGTGGTGGTCAGGGTCGAAGGGGGAGGAGCCAATGGGGGAGGAGCCAATGGGAGAGGGGCGGTTGGGGACAGGCTGATGGGGAGGGGCTGGGGCAGACAGGGAGGGTCAGGGGGCGTGTGCATTTGTAGTAAGACAGTAGTGTAGGGATTCAACATGAAGAGTCCATTTCCACAGAGCAGGGCCTCAGTTCACTTCAGCGTCTAACCCACAGGTGTCGCTTTTTTTCTCAAATTTTTGGATCACATCATAAAGATTAATCTGCAACTTAAAGAGCCTCCAGTTTCTCTCACACTGTGCTCAGATTAAAAAAACATTTGGCCAGTTCTTTGCATTTGTTTACATATTTTCCTCACTTTTTGCAGTGTAACATAGCTGTGATGATTCTTTGGACCCTGAAGTGAAGGCGATCTGTGGAAAGGTGCTCTGAAATGCAGCAGGACTAGCGTAGTGGAACACCCTCTGTTAGTGGTTCAAATGTAAACTTAATGTAAACAATTCTCTAAAATAATACAACTTTACAAATATCTCTTTTCGTACCGGCAGCATTGGATAAGGCTCGACAGATTCCAATCTTTGTGTAGAGGTAGTACTGATACAGAGAGGACTACATCCGGGTTTTGTGAGCTTTATAGTACAACGAGCCAGAAGTTATTCCAAACTATTACGTCTCCGGTCTGAGCAGGAGACAGTGCAAGTGAGGGCAGAGCGTTCACTCCGAAGAGCTGAAAATAAATAGTGCGGGAATTGGAGAGAAGCGCCAGTACGTCTCACTGCGAGCGCTGCTGGGACTTATTGCAAGGCTCAGGCCGATCCCACCAGGTGCACCTCCAGGAGAGTCCGAGAGGCCGAGGATGAAGGCTGCTGTGTGGCGGCGGTGGCGGGGTCTGGGACAGTACAGGTATAGGCCCTATGTGCTGGGACATTCACAGGCTGAGCTGATGGCAGCGTGCTTTTTGCATGTGTAGAGGTAGTTACAGTGTAGGGACGCATGGACTCCTCCAGCACAGTGTTGTTCTCCTGTCAGCTGCTGCACTTCTGCAGCTGCCACTTGTCTGCAGCTGCTTCACTTCTGCAGCTGCCACTTCTCTGCAGCTGCCACATTTCTGCAGCTGCTGGAAATAAGACTAAATATGAATCTAGGGCTGTCTAACTGGTCCCCAAAGGGCCGCTGTGGCTGCAGGTTTTTATTCCAATCAAGCAGGAGCACATCAGTCTCCACCCATTTCCTCAGATCTCCAGGTTAAGACTGAACCTAAGGAGATGTGTGGAGTGCTCCTGCTTGGTTGGGGTGAAAACCTGCAGCCGCACAGGCCCTTTGAGGACTGTCCTGCTGTAAACACTAATGTGTCTGCTTCAATGACAGGTCTTTGTACCAATTACTCTGACTGAATATGTTTGCAATGCCAGAAGGAGCCCTGTTTTCTGCTGCAGTGACAGACGTGGGCCACTAGGGGGCCTTGTGAGTGTATCCAACCAGAGAAGTGAAGAAGCTGAACAGGAGAGACAGTCTCCACATGGTCCGAGTGTGGCCTACACATCACACACATGGTGCAGACACACATAGACTTGTAGAACACACTGCGGTGAGAGTGGCTTAACACCAGATCTCGCAGACCAGTCAATATGACTGCTCCTCTGCGTATGTACAAGGTCTTCATAACTTTGGGACTTTCTGTAGTTTATTTCAGTATATATTTTGATAAAATCTTTTTCTTTTTGAAATGTGAGGTCTACCTTTAACTCACAGAGCCGTCATTTTGACAGCTACATTCATTTGTAAAAGAGCGAGTGCTGTTACCGTAGCAACGCGCCGTTTACTGTCAGAAGTTAGCATTTAACCTAACAAACGGTTTTTACTGTATTTCAACTTATATTCAACAGTTTTAGCACTTATTAAAAGTGACTTAGGGTAAAAACCTTATAAATTACTTACCGGGTACTTTTATTAAAACTAAATATTTCCATTTAATTGAATGGAAGCAGTCAAAATGACTGTCCTGGGATTCAGAATTGTGGGAGTCCTAGTGTTAAGCCCAGCTGGATGTGTGTGTGTGTGTGTGCATGTGTCTACATAGGTTTGTATTTATGTGTGTGTGCGTGTGTGTGCATATGTGTGTGTGTGTGTCCTACACCGACAGTCCTGGTTGGTTTGGGGTCAGACGCTGGTGATGGAGGCCAGGCAGGCACTGGGCTTCTGGAGCTTGTCGGCCTGGGGCCCTGTGGACTCCGAGATGGTGCGGAAGGAGAAAGGAGGACCGGCTGCAGTCAGACCCAGATGTCCTGGACTCAGGGCCAGGTTGTGTCTGCGATTACTCTCTACGATGGAAGAAGTGTTGGACGCCAAGCTCTCTCGGGTTCTGTTAGAACAAACAATATCAAAACATATTAAAATGTTACTTGTACACTGCTGGTGCCCAGAGTCTGGACAAAGCCTTGAGAGGCAGTGTTTTAGATTAGGGGTGGGAACCTAATAGGGTACCTCACGATACGATACGATACACGATACAAAGCTCACAATAACGATATTATCACGATAACGATATCACAAAAACAATTTTATCACGACATGACGATTATCAATATATTGGTCAGAAATATACAATATGCCAATTTATAGCATAAATAAAAGAAGAAATACAATTTATTTCATGATAAATGGAATGGAGATGCATACTGTAGCCATATATTAAGTATTGATACCAATTAAAAAAAAATAATTGTAAAAAAAATAATTTAAAAAAATTGATAATCCAATTGCGGGAGAAAGTATCGCGATATATCGAAAAATCGATATATTGTCACACCCCTATTTGAGATTCATGAAGCTAAAGTCTGGAACTTCTTCTCTGACAATGTTCCAATCCAGGTTGAAACAGTTCTGTTAACTGTGCATACAACCGTCACTCTTTCTAATGTACTGTCATTATGTATTATTTCAATTTAAGTGTGATTTTTATATTGTTTTGTTCAGCACTTTGAGTTGCCTTGTGTATGAACTAGGGGTGTCACTATTCTCCTAATCCTCAATTTGATTTTCGATTACTTTTCTTTTTCTTACAGCACACTGTAGCGTACCGTAGCATGGCTCAAGTATGCTAGTTTAATGTTAAACCTATAGACTGTCATTGACTTTGCATTGAAACTGGACGCAATGCATGGTCCTGTGTGAACGCCCCTTAACTCTGAACCAATGAGAAGCTGGGAAACCTGAGTTTCATTGAGCCAATGAAACGCTTCCACAAACCAACAAAGTTGACCCGCACAGTGAAGTAGTGGTTGCAGAGTCCCAGACACTGACACTGATTGGTTTTTTTTAAGCAGTTTGCTTTGGGAAGAGCGACACACACTCTTACACACTGTGGTCTGCTTGTTGACATCGTTTACTCACCGGGAACGCAAAATATTTCCATACTGGTGATTTAAGAGAATCAGCAGCAGCTTTAAGCTTTGGTGCCACGTCTCTTTTATCTGCACATGGTGTCATAAACTGCAGGTTAGCAAACAAGAAGCGTCAGCTACAATGTGCTGCATGGTCATGTGATTTCACCTCTTCGCACACCTCCCTGATGTATGTAAACCTTAGGTGATCGCAGATCCTCTTTGATTTCGATGCTCGAGATCATGGCGTAATTTCGAACAATTTTGATAAAAATATCAAAATCACCCCTAGTATGAACTGTGCTATACAAAAAACCTGCCTTGCGTCACACTATATAGTGCACAAAAATCTCTGGAGGTACTGTTTGACAGTGGATGTGTGATCGTTCTTACCGCGGGGAGTTGAAGCCGCTGTCCACAGTCACGGAGCTGGAGTCCATGCTGTCCAGCCTGGCAGAGTGTGCGGACTGCTGGTTGGGACCGGGTTCTTGGAGGTTGTCTTTAGCACCAGGGAAGGTGAGAGTTCGTTCAAATCTCCTCTGAAGGTCCTGCTCCTTCTCTCGGTCCAAGAGCCACTGCATGGTCCCTGCGCCTCCCCCTTTACTCACTCCTCCCTCCCCAGGCTTCTCTGTGGCTCCACGGTTTTTTGCTCCGCTCTCGTCAAGCTCGTCATCATCCGACACATTATAGTAGTCAAAAGAAGCCTCTGCTGCACTAGGGGTGGAGTCGGGTCCTTGTGGGGGGGCCGAGGTGGTAGCTACCAGGGGTTTGGGGGCATCATATACCTCCTGAGAGTCTAAAGCATCACATGATGACGACAGAGTTGTAGAGGCCAGGGCTGCAGGCTTCCTCAAAGAACTATAGCCAGGTAGGGGCAGACTGGGAGGGGGCTTAAAAAGAGTGTCTTTACTAAAGATATCTTTCCTTTTATCTGGACCAGAAGAGGCACTGTGAGAGAGTCTGCCATTTGTCAGAGGAGACTCAGGAACTGACAGAGGGATTGGGGGCAAGCTGCCACCTTTAGGTCCAACCTTTGTCAAGTCCTCTTTCAGTTCTGATGGGTGTGGTGTCTGTCTATCCACCTGTCTGTCTGTACTGCCCAGTTTTAAGCCTTCATGGCTACTTTTACCTAGAGTTCCCAGAGGGTTGAGTGATGTGACAGCGTCAGAGGAGCCTGAACACTGAAAGTAGTCATCAGGGGCCACTGAGGTAGCCAAAGTTTTGGGTGAGTAAGCTGGCAGACTGTCTCTGCTCTTACTCTTCTCTAGGCTTCGGGCTATATCCATCCCTAGAGCATCAGCAGAAGGTTTCGCTGAAGGAGGAGTGGTCCTAGAGTAGTGTGAAGTGCTCTGATTGACTCGAAGCGTGCCATCATCAGTGTAGTAACGACTCCGGTCGTCAAAGTAGTTTGGAGGTCCTATCAGCCCCGCTCCCAGGGGTCCTTTGGAGTTATCCATGGAACGTGAGCGCTCCTTGGCCTTGTCGCTGCGCTCGTGCCTGGACTTCCTCTCCTGTGTGTGGGAGTGAGAGCGGTGCACTTTGGAAGGTTGTGCAGACGGCCCGTGGCTCGGCTCAGGAAAAGGCATCTCTGTTCTTCTTTTGGCCAGCTCTCCAGACACGTCCCACTCCGGTGTGACTGGCATGTGAGAGGCCTCCAGGATGTTGGGATTACTGTGGGCGAGGTGAAGGCGAGCGCGCTGACGTTCCATCGCCAGGGCGTGCTCTCGCGGCGATCGGGCGAGCGAGGAGGAGAAGGCGCGGTAGTCCCTGTCAGCCACCCCCAGGTGAGAGCCGTCACTGGGCTCCCCTCGAGAGCCCCTGGTCTTACTGTGGGAGCGACTGGCTTTGCTCTGTGTTTGTTTACGATGCCGGCCTCCACTGCGACGGCTTCGGGAGCTGTGATTGGCTGAAGACACTTTACTCCTCTGAACGCGCTCCTCCTCCAGTCGCTTCATGACGGCCGTGTGCCGGGCTAGATTCTCTACAGTGAGGTCAGGGTTGATTCTCCTAATGATCTCCATCTCCACCTGGCGGGGCAGCTGGCTGGGCACCTCCTCATCCCTCAGGGGCCACTCTTCAGGTGGAAACTGTGCTGAGAACGTAGCTAGCTGCTTTGTTTTGTCCTTCTTAAAGCTCAAACGGAATAACTTCAGGCCAAACTTACGACTCCCCATGTTTCCCCCTGTGCCTGACTTCTCAGAGTCCCCCTGCGTGGAGCTCCCCGTCCCCCCTCCGCTCGCAGACCGGTGTTTGGTCAGCGTGTCCGTCTTGAAGGGGAAGCTGAGGGTGGTCCTGCTCTTGTCAAGGGTCCCCGCCGGCTGTGGGGGGGTCTGTGGGGAGTGGGGGGAGTGTGGGGAGGGGTAGTCGCGGTGTTCTTTGGGCGAGCGCCTCTGGAGGGTGGTGTGGTGACTGGGAGGGTCGTCCCTGTAGCTGTAAAAGGGATCGCTGTGGTTCTGAGCAGACTTGTGAGTGCGTTCTCGGACCCCCCCTGTGGACGGGGTGATGGTCCCGGAAAGTGGAGAGGTGCACTGGGTCTGCTGGTGACTCTGCAGCTGCTGGGCCTGATGCTGAGCCTGGTGCTGGGTCTGGTGCTGGGCCTGGTGCTGGGTCTGGTGCTGGGCCTGGTGCTGGGTCTGGTGCTGGGACTGGTGCTGGGACTGGTGCTGGGACTGGTGCTGGGACTGGTGCTGGGACTGGTGCTGGGACTGGTGCCGGTCCGAGCGCTCATCCAGGTGATACCACTTGGAGCTGGTCCGGATCAGACTGGGGGTGATGAAGTAGGTCTGCGGCGTCACAATGAAATAGCCGTCTGCTGTGGGGTAGATCTTGCGGTCACGGACGAGCATGCTCAGTGTGTGGTGCAGCACCTCCTCCGTGGGAGTGGGGACGCCTGGGGAGACATCAGAGCTTTAGACCATGCACAAAAAACAAACTAGTCATCTTAGTTTGAGGACTATACAAATCCATCAATTCACCAACACAGATCGGAGAATCTAATCAGCTGCCACGTCAGCTGTTGCAAAAATCATAACAAACAACACGTTACCTGAACCCATAAAGACGTCAGAACGGAAAACAATTTATAGATTCATGGTTCAAGTTCAACAAAGACAGTTGTGTTATCGGCTGAAGGCTTGAAACTGGGTTGAAACTCGTAAAATTGTTCTTGGTCTGACTAATCAGAATTGACGTCTACCGACGTCAAATTGTTTTGGTATCTACTCGGACCGGCAAGAACCAGGGCCAAACCGTTACAAAAAAAGTACCGGGTAGCGGCTAAAGCGAGCTGGTGGAAACGCCCCAAAAACGTGTCAAATTGTAAGAGTAAATGTGTGTGTGTGTGTGTGTGTGTGTGTGTGTGTGTGTGTGCAATAATGGATACCAGTTCACTTAAATCACAGCAAACTTATTACAAAATGGGTCAAATTGTGTTTTTTAATTTATTGTTTGAAGATATCAGCTTAATGGATTTCTTAGAGCTGACACTGACCCATCAAATGTTCAAATATCAAACTAGTACATCTGTGCATCCCTATTTGTCAACACTTGAACACCAAATTAGAATTCTTTAAATGGTAAATGCCAGTTTAAGAAGCAGTCAATAATTTATCCAGACGCAATTTTTCAATACTGTAAGGAAACGTCCCTAAACACCAAAAGTAGTGAAGTTATCATGTGTTTTCAAAAGGAATGCACACGACCAGCCTCAAAAATTAAATCATAAATATTTTGGAGTGGACCGATTAAAGAAACCAATGGGATGCGTCCTCCCCCCCTCCCCTCCTGCTTTTCATCAGTGTCTGAGTTGTTATTGAGTCAGATTTTCTAAAACACCTACAATGGCTGAACCGCAAACCCCCAAAGTGCCAATTTCACGTTTGCCACTCGCCTTGTTGTGGCAAAGAAGAAAATGAAATGAGGAAAAGAAGTTGTATAGGAAGACTCGGACGCAGCCAGGGCTACGTAATGCAACGGCAGTCGAGTTTTGCTAAATGCTAGTTTGTCAGGGGAAGCTAGCTCTTGTCAAGTATGGCGGGCTAATCGCTCACAGACTTGGGCCCTAATTTAGTGTAATCGTTTCACATTTCAAGCTGGGAGTTGGGTTTGGCGGAAGGCAGGTGGGAGGGGGGAGTGGTTTAGACTCGGTGCAACTCGGATGCTAATGCTAAGCTAACATGAATCCTTTACTGGGCTTTAACCAATTTGAGGTTGGTGCTAACTGTTTTACACCACTGCCACCCATGGAGACTATAGCCCTGTTTCCTCCAGCCCTATCCTTGTCCTACCCTAACTAACTGACAGTGATTGACCATGGTTACCAAGGAATTTGCCCGAATACTGGTTTGTTGTGGGTCGGTTGCTAGGATACTGTACCAGATGCTAAAGCGTAATGGAAACACAACCAGGTAGAGTAGGGCTGAGTAGGGCTGGTGGAAACGGGGCTTATAATAGCAAAGTCCCCCGCAATAATTTAGGGAATATATTTAGTAAACCTCTGTCACTTTTTTCACTTTTCAAGCTGAGAAATACAGAACAATGAAACGTAGTGTTTTGTAAATGATCCTGCGGCGACGGGGAGTGTTTGATTTGAGAACTGATGTGGGGTCTGTGCTCCTCTTCAAGACTATTACAGCAGCTTACATCAGAGCAGAGAGAGTGATGCAAGCTCAGGCACTGACACACACACACACACGGACAGATGCGGACGGACACACACGCACGCACACACACACACACGTGGACACACACGGACACAGACAGATGTGGCCGCTTACACGGACACACACACAGTCACAGACAGATGTGGACACGGACAGAGACACACACACACACACACACACTGACAAACACACATGCACACACACAGACACACGGCATCACATCCCCATCATTTACAATTTCTGGATCCAAGTTCAACACAACAAGAACTGGCAAAAGTTCAATGTCTTACAAGCCCTGTTTCCAACAGCCCCACTTGGCCCGAGTCTACTCGGCTCCGCTCAACCTAGTATCTAATGCTGTATCCTAGCAACCAGTCCACAACGACCGGGGTGACCATAGGCTCCAGCAGCACTCAAATCAGAACACTATAGTGCCAACTCGGCCTGGTAGAACCAGGGCCAAGCAGGTACTGAAAAGTACCTAGTACCGGTAGAACAGGGCGGCCGAGTAGAGTAGAGTAGATCAGAGCAGAGCAGCTGCCTCAGTCCTGGATCTACAGCCTCAGTACATGCAGACTCAGCTTGAGTCTGCATGTACTGAGACAGAGGTCTAAGTCTGCATGTATACTGAGACAGAGGTCTAGGTCTGCATGTATACTGAGACAGAGGTCTGGGTCTGCATGTATACTGAGACAGAGGTCTAGGTCTGCATGTTTACTGAGACAGAGGTCTAGGTCTGCATGTATACTGAGACAGAGGTCTAGGTCTGCATGTTTACTGAGACAGAGGTCTAGGTCTGCATGTATACTGAGACAGAGGTCTGGGTCTGCATGTATACTGAGACAGAGGTCTAGGTCTGCATGTTTACTGAGACAGAGGTCTAGGTCTGCATGTATACTGAGACAGAGGTCTAGGTCTGCATGTTTACTGAGACAGAGGTCTAGGTCTGCATGTATACTGAGACAGAGGTATTTACACTGGTGGTTTACCTGGGAAGCATGTCTGAAGGTGTTCTGTCAGAGCCTCCTGAGTGACAGGCTTGTGGGCGGTGTTCATAGCCGAGATGGCCAATAGCAGTACTTCTCCCAAAGGGATGAACTGTGATTGGCTGATGGGGGACATACTAATGGGCGACACATCACCTGAAAAAAAGAGAAAATAAAGATAAATGTTATTCATTAATTGCAAGCTTAGCATAATCCAAAACAATTATACAAAGATCTCCCTTAAGCCATCAGTCACCAACGGTAAGAGGTGCTTCCACAGTGTCATTCAGCCAACTGCAAGCTCAACTACGAATGCCAGGCTATAGCTCTGAAGGTAAAGGAGACAGTAGTGAGAGAGGAGAGGGTCTGAAGGTAAAGGAGACAGTAGTGAGAGAGGAGAGGGTCTGAAGGTAAAGGAGACAGTAGTGAGAGAGGAGAGGGTCTGAAGGTAAAGGAGACAGTAGTGAGAGAGGAGAGGGTCTGAAGGTAAAGGAGACAGTAGTGAGAGAGGAGAGGGTCTGAAGGTAAAGGAGACAGTAGTGAGAGAGGAGAGGGTCTGAGGGTAAAGGAGACAGTAGTGAGAGAGGAGAGGGTCTGAAGGTAAAGGAGACAGTAGTGAGAGAGGAGAGAGTCTGAAGGTAAAGGAGACAGTAGTGAGAGAGGAGAGGGTCTGAAGGTAAAGGTGGAAAAGGGAAGTTCTCCCTGTGTCTGTATCTTTTCTTCCACTACCACAAAAAACAAGTACAATAGGTAAAAATCCTCCAGCTCGAGCTGAGCAACCACGAGCATCAACATCTGGAGATGTTCCCCCGGGCTCCTGACAGAGGTCCTAGTGTTTTAGTGCACACAGGATGGGTCAAATGCAGAGGAAAAAATGGCCCAACAGGGATAAATAATGTGTACTTTAATCTTAACCTGGCAGTTTACCACTCACAATCATTTCATAAACGTGCATAAACGCAGCTTGATGTACAGATAACATACTATGGTTTGTCTCAAGAATAATAATTATATTAACAATAATAAAGGTGGATTGGTTTTATAAAGGACACTATATGGGCTTGTTCACACTAAAGGGCACACAAGTGTGACAAAAGGCCAAAAATTTGATTTTAATAATCAGAAGATATTTTATGTTTTTCATGTTTCCAAGCACCTCCTCTGTCCATTAGAAGTTTCTAGAACATAACTGTTTTATACATTAGACAAGTTCCCTGTAGCGGCCCTGTTTATTTTATGACGTGATGATTTGACGGAATGAGCTTTGTGGAAGTTTGATAGGTATTTTCAGATGTCCACATTTGATTCAGAGATTCTATTTTTTTTTTCTCAAGTTTGATTTTTAGAGAAAAGAGGACCGTCCTCATCACGTCCGTTATACATTTTTCATGGGTCATTTAATTAATTAATTATTTTTTTCACGATTCCTTTTTACATCAAGTGATTTCCTTCTGTTGTGTTAACCATGTAAATCTTGTGGGATTTCATCTTCTGCTTTTTCAGACTGAGGACATTTTATTTTCTATGTAACTGGCGTCACAGTAGAATGGTCCAATCAGAGGCTAATTTGGTCGTTTAAAATGTTGCTAAACATTTTTATGTCAATCTTTCCTTTTGATTTTTTCCACACTATCTCTTCAATCTATCTGTGTTGAAATCTTTTTTCCAATCTATGAAAGTAATTTTAGTTTTTAAGTTATAACCTTTTAAAGTCCAGATACTTCAATTGTCACTTTACTGTGAACACACTCATATACATGAATATTTCGGATACGCTCAAATCCGCTTTGAATGGCATTCATTAACATGCACGGTGGTGATATACTAATCTGTAGCCACAGCTGCCCTGGAGCATCAGCCTTTGTGTGACCAGTGCCAGGTCCTTCTTTAGTCCCTTTTGGTCCTTGTTCTATCCAGGCCGGGCTGGTACTAGTGTTCTAACTGAGCGATTGGCCAGAGTGCTGCTGGAAGCCATGGTAACCAGGGAATTTCCCAGGATACTCGATAGAAAACAGGGCTTCATTCTGGTATTAATTAATGTAAAAAAAATTGTGCACCTGATGTTTTTGAAACAGACGATGAATTGCTACATTTTGTGCCATAAGATAAGATAAGATAGACTTTATTGATCTCACACATGAAAAATGTACATGTCACATTTGGCATGGATAGATGACCAGCTTCTTGGGGAGATAGTTCTGAAGGCCTGAAGGATATTTGTATTGAAGTTGGCGCAGTCACTGAGTGATCCATAAGTGATAGACGTGCACAAGAGTACACAAGGGCATTATGAGACTAGCATAATCTTTTATTGACCATGGGACCATGGAAAACACCAGTAGATCAAAACACACAATCGATAAAGACTCCAGGTTAGACAAACTCCTGGTCTCAAACAAACCCAAACCAAACATCTTATTGTGGACAGTCTATGGGACAGCAGGATTCGTGCATCAGCATCTCGATGCCACTTGTGAGATGGGATGGATTATCTCAACAGGGGTGAAGTGCTCTGAAACACATTTCTGAACAATATCTGAGATTTACAGAGTTGTCTTTACATATTTTTAGGTCGAGCAAAAAATTTAAAAAAACTTTGAAAATCGTCAATTTCCAAAATAATCTAACGCACACATTCTCCTAAAGGGTCATATTCCACAAAACTCCCCATGCACTGTCCTCCCTCAGTCCTGTTCTCACTGCTCACATCTGGGGACATCAAAGAATACAGTGACATCTCTATTCAGAAAGTAAAACACGTCTCGCCCCCGATGTGACTAACGCCACACACCAACTGGTCTCACTGGACTCATAAACTGACCACGACATTAGCATGTCCCAGAAGTGTAAAACAATCCATGTACCAGCTAAAACTACTACTACTACTACTACTACTACGACTGCTGCAACTACTACTACTGCTGCTGCTGCTGCTGCTGCTTTGTTGATGGATGTACGGCTCGTTGGCCTATTGACACCTCTCACACACACACATTTACACACAGACATGGATGGTAGTAGTTCTCACACTGCAGTGGTAGTAAACAATCGGCCAGCAGTCAGTCAGTCCCCTTTGTCCACACTCTAAACCACACCCCCTCCTTTTGTCATGCACTGCCCCTGTGCTCCTCCATGTCTGCTGCCTCTGCTCAATGTCCACTCTACGACTTTAAACCTTCCCAAATGTGTGATCTGTGCCGCTGCTGCTGCTGTTACTACTGCTGTACTACTACACTGCGTTGCATGCTCTGCTAATGCTGTAGCGTAGCGTTGCTAAGGCTAACCACTAGCAGCTGCTAACAGGCTCAGGGGCTCTTCATAGCAGCAGAGGTCCAGAGGAACAGCTGTGCTCGGTACCTTGGCGGACAGTTTCCCTCTGTTCTAGACACGGTGAGATCCAGTGGTGATCCGCTGGTGATCTGGTGGTGATCTGGCTGGCCTGGGGTCCGCTGCTTCTCTCGCTATTCTCTTTTGCAGCTCTCCCTCTCTGTTCTGTCCTTTCTCCTCAACGCTCCTCCTCCGTTCTTCTCTCTCACGCACACACAAATGGAGACCGAGCAAAGGCCTTCCCACAATCCCTTGCAGCACACAAAGACAAGGGGGTGTGACCAATCACAGGCTTTGGACTTCCCGTCTACTCTGTGTCCCCTCCCTCCTGGAGTAATGGCCACGGTTCCTTGTGGCAAACTGCCGAAAGGGGTTGCCATGGCGATGAGGCTCTGGTGTGTGATCCTGCAGCTTTATTCCTGTCTCTGTGTGCGTCTCTGCGCCACTGTCTCCGTCTCTACATGTCCTCTCAGTCCCTCGCCGTGGTTCACAAGAGCACACTGTCCAGACTGACATTCTGCTGAAAAGAAAGGACTGGGAGATATGCCAACAAAGTTACTAGATTCTATAGACCCCAAAACAATGATAACAATGCATTATTCATTCACGGCAAACACAGGGGTGATAAACTACTACTGAAGCCACAGCTGCCCTGGGGCACACTGACAGAAGCGAAGCAACCAGTCTGTGCCCCTCCCACCACCACCACCAACCATTCACACACACCAGACTCATTCTAATGTGAGTGAAGTGTCTTGCCTCAGGACACAACAACAGTTTGTCACTTTACAACTGCCCCACTGTGGCACCTGGTTATCTTAAACACTGTAAGCACAAGTACAGTGATCTTAAACATTGTAAGCACAGGTACAGGACGGCCTGATGCCCTCTCTGTGTCCAGATGTCTCTCGGAAGTGGTCTGTGTCCAAGCATGAATACACTGTCCAGAAGGTGACCCCTGAGTGGAGGTATAGAGTATTGTCAATCGATTAGAATAAATTATTATTAATTAGACCCTAACAAACACAAAACTTACATTTACTGAAAACTTTTAAATAATAATAACAATAATAATAGAAAATCACTTTGCTTTTCTGGACACTTAAACACCCAGGATTATTGATTAACTCCAAACAGTGGTGATGAACTACAACCGTAGCCACAGCTGCCCTGGGACACACTGACAGAAGCAAGGTTACCAGTCTGTGCCATCGGCCCCTCTCAACACCACTAACCGTTCACACACACACACACACACTAATGTGGCTGGCGTGTCTTGCCTAAGGACACAACAGCACCTCATTTTAAATCACTTCTAAAAACCCACTTTTATCACTTTCATGTATTATATTGTTCTAGTGTCTGTCTTGTCAAATGTTTTCAGAAGCTCACTCTCTCTGGTCTGTCTCTGGTATCTCTCTTTGGTCTCTCTCTCTGGTCTCTCTCTGGTCTCTCTCTGGTCTCCCTCTGGTCTCTCTTTCTGCTCTGTCTCGCTGGTCTCTCTCTGGTCTCTCTCTGGTCTCCCTCTGGTCTCTCTTTCTGCTCTGTCTCGCTGGTCTCTCTCTCTGGTCTCTTTGCTGGTCTCTTTCTGGTTTCTCACTGGTCTCTCTCTCTGGTCTGTCTCTGGCCCGTCTTTCGTCTGTCTAGGGTCTCTCCCTGGTCTCTCTTGTCTCCCTCTCTGATCTCTCTCTGGTTTCTCTCGGGTCTCTTTCTGGTCTCTCTCTTCCCATGTATTTTATTGTTCTAGTGTCTTGCCAAATGTTCTCAGAAGCTCCCTCTCTCTGGTCTCTCTCTGGTCTCTATAGTCTCTCTCTCTGGTCTGTCTCTGG